GTATGAACCAGTACGGGCTCAGATACTAGGAGGGTCAGCTCTCCCTTCTTTAGAAGAGGTGTTTGCTCGACTTCGGAGGACTTCTATTGGATTTATTGAGAACTCTAATGTCTCAGATAGATCAACCTTTGCAGTGTCAAGGGGCCGTGGTGTTAGAGGTGGAGCTCGAGGAGTTCAGTCTGGTCGTGGTGGTAGCAGTGGTCCGGTATATGGCCAGAGTGGTGGTGGTGGACCTACATATAACCGTGGTGGTGGTCGTATTGGAGGTAGAGATTCAGGGGGAGCCCATGGTAGAAGACGTGGCTCAGGTCCGAGGAGGTGTACTCATTGTGGTATGGATGGGCATACCATTAATTATTGCTATGACTTGCATGGTCCACCCTCAATCTGGGCCAATCATGCCATGACTAGTGACACCAGTTCCAGTTCCAGACAAGAGAATCGTTCAGCTGATCAGATGCCTCTTACATCCACAGATGGTTCCGGGAAGGAGATGGTGAGTGTTCTACGTGATGAGTATGAGAGGTTTGTCCAATCCACATCTTAGCAGAACACGGCTACCTTCGCACACTCAGGTATGGCTTGTTTGGCATCCATACCCAATCCCTAGATTATTGACTCTGGAGCCTCCGATCACATGATTGGAACTCCAGGTGTGTTTTCTTCCCTCTCTCATTGCTCAACATCACAATCTGTTACCCTTGCTAATGGTTCCACCTCCTCCATTTGTGGTGTTGGTAATGTTGACTAGACCCTGTACCCCTATCCTCAGTTTTGTATGTCCCTAAATTTTCGTTTAACCTTATGTCTGTTAGTAAGTTGACAAAGTCACTTAATTGTTCCATTACCTTTTACCCATCTATATGTGTTTTTCCGAATCTCAAGACGGGGATGAAGATTGGTGGAGGGCATAAAGCTGGTGGATTGTATTATCTTGATGGTGGTGGAGAAACATCAATAGCTCTCCAGTCATCTCTCTCTCCTCTCCAGTGGCACTGTCGATTTGGTCATCCTTAGCTAAAAGTTTTGAAATCTTTGGTTCCTTCGTTGAGTCAACTTTCTGTTTTAGATTGTGAGTCATGTCAGTTTGGGAAACACCATCGTGTACCCTTTAGTTCTAGGGTTGATAACCGTGTGTCGAGTCCTTTTTCTTTGATTCACTCGGATGTTTGGGGTCCTTATAAAGTGATGTCATACAATGGATATAGATATTTTGTCATTCTTGTTGATGATTTTTCAAGGATGACGTGGCTCTATTTAATGAAAGAACGAAGTGAATTGTTTACCATCTTCCAGAAATTTTATGCTGAGATTCACAATCAATTTGGTGTTCACATTAAAATTTTTCGTTCTGATAATGGCCATGAATATTTATCTTCATCCTTTCTAGAATACTTGGACTAACATGGCATTATACATCAGACCTCATGTACCTACACCCCACAACAAAATGCGGTGGCTGA